CGGAGGAGGCGCCGGCGGCGGGCGGGCCCGCGGCGCTTCGCGGCGGCTCTGCCGTCGCCCTGAGAGCCCGGAGGGGTCGGGGGCCGCCGCTTGTGCCGGCTGCGCTCAGCTGGTCAGCCGGGGCGGTGGTGCAGCCGGACGGTGCGATTGAGGCCTGCGCAGCTGGCGGGCCGCAGACCGTCCAGGGCACAGTCAGTCATTCCGCAAGTAACTTAACTGGTGCAGACGCCCCGTCTACCTTGTCGTTTCGCCCGTATGCAGCCTGTGGTTTTTCTCGTGCTGCAGCGCTGTGCACGTTTGTTTAAATGCAGCACTGATGCGAAAGGCAAATTCGCCAGGTAGTTATTTGAGTCCAAGGAGCAGGGACGACTTCTCTCAAGCACAGAAAAGCTTGCAGTGGAGCATCTAATTAACTGGGATAGATCAACTTCATGAGGCAAGAAGTACAAGGAAATCTGTGCGTTCTAAAAGCTCCTGCTAGAGCAAAATTTCATCAGCATTTAATCACCCAGCGAGGTATGGAGGACAACATGCCTTCCTAGGTATCGGTGCTGCAGAGGAGCAAGGCTGAACCTTAGCTTTGCAAATCACGATAAAGGAAGGGATATATTATTTATTACTGCAGATTTTTCTTTTTTTTTTTACTGCAAAATCTGGTGGTTCTATAATGCATTGGAAAAGGCGGATTTCTAGCATGGCAAAGGCTAGGGTGATTTGTAATCATGACTTGTGTTGAAACCATGAAAAAAATGTTTATGTTGAAGAGGGACAGAAATCTTCCGGAGAAATTAAAATCACAGGAGGCAAAGCTGCCTCCAGACTGGTACATAAAATGCTTCAACCCCACAACTGCACTCACACAGGCGCCTCTTACTGAAACAGCTTCTCTTAAGTAGCAAGTCCCCAGGCAGCAAGACACACCCTTACCCAGGAAACATGACCATTGCATGGATGGCCATTAGTCCACAAGATCCTGAAAGGTTTGCCCTGTTTTGCCTCTGTGCCATCTTAACCCAAGCGTGTAAAAGCTAGACCAATATACCAGGACTGGTTAAACAGAGAGATAACAAAAGGTACGGCCCCTTGCTTGGAGTGGTGTGGCGACTTGGGAATTTGTAGCACTGAAGCTGGAAGTCAGCATGTGCCGACTGACAGGCTGGGACTTCTGAAGCCTGCAGGGTAGGCACGAGTTGCCAAGCGGGAGGTAAGAAAGGATTTAGCGAGGACTTGACTTTGCGCTTGGATACATGCTGTACACCCTCTTATGAGACACAGCTCCAGCTAGCCGGAGTTAAAAAAAGATGAAAAAAGAGAATTTGCTGGAAGTTTGCAAGTGCTGCCACTTGGTGGTCTCACGGAGGAAGTGTCATACCCAGCACAACCCCAGAGATTGTGCTTGGGGTGTACTGGGGCATTTCTAACATGTCCTGGGGCAGCATTCCAGCGAGCAGGGTTAGCCACACAGTCCTGAAGCTTTCTTCCGGATAATTTCTTTCTCTGATACTCTCGCCTTTGGTTTTGGTGCCTGGCCTTGCCTGCCAGGGTGGAGTTTCTAGCGGTGTCCCACCCCGGCACCGTATCGCACACCCCTGCGCTCTCTGTGCCGTGGCTCTGAGGAGCTCATCGCGGAGACCTTCCTGGTGAGCACAGCGAGAACTGCTGAAACTCACACGATTATATGCATCTTCATTAACAAACGAGATACCTGCACCCCCACATTTACTCTTGAAAATGTTGATCTATACCTCCGTACTACAAATGAAAGCAGCTTCTTTATCTAGAAAGTGTAAGAACATGGGAAAAAAACCTCATTGAAATATTTTTAGTGCTGTCAAATGCTGTGACATTTATGGTGCGTGTCCTTGGGAAGACGAATAGAGTATAAACATCCTGAGTTTATTCCATTTACCCTCAGGAATCCGGATCTTCTGAACAGCATGAAAATAGTTTTTTGAATTATTATTATTATTATTATTGCACATGGAGACCTTCATCATGCCTGTATCAGAGTGATTTTTGGCAATGTATTGTAGTGACAGAAACAGGCACCTTGTGGAAAGGAAATTGTCATTTTATAATCCTTTCATCATATTTTTAAGACTATTTCATATGTATATTAAAATATTACAGCAAGAGGTGTTGCCTAGTACTAAGAAACAGTGGTAGTATGGGCATGCTGAGGATTTGTTTTTATGACCATTTTATACTCTTGTGAATTCACTGCATGTTGTGCTCTGCTAAAAAGTTTCCCTGGAATTGCTACCAGAACCTAAACCACAAAACTGAAAACCTGGTTGTCTTAATGTGACATAGACTGAAATCTCTAATCCAAATCTTAAATGCTTTTTAGCAGACTGTTTCTGAGCACTGGGAGTGAAATGGAAGTGAAAATCAGTCATTCAGGAGTGCTGCCACATACATTGCCACATTGCCTGGAGATATTTTTGTCCTACAGACACAGATAATGAAACAAGAATCAAGGGTTAAATATATCTCCTCCTCATGCCCATGGCACGCAAGACTTCTGCAGCTGTATCGCTGTTAGGTTTGCCTTGGAAAGACAGGTCCTCAGGGAGTCGCACGGCCATGGCAGAGGCAGCAGAGAGGGACACCCGTCCACATGCACAGGGTACGTCCCCGGGGAGGCACATACTTGGCCGGAGCTGGGCCACCGAACCCCCTCCCACGGTATGATCTGTGACATTCAAAGAGCACAGCCGGATAGGGAGGACACGCGCTCTCGGTACTAGTAACAGCAATGAGCCATACACAAATAGTGCTGCAAAACCCTTACGCTCTTTGAGGCGAGTAACGCCGATTTTCAAACCGCTCCGAGACCAAGTGGCACTGCGCAAAGCCCTCGCTTCCTGCCGACGGCAGGCATGCCGCATCGACAGAGCCCAACTCCTTTCTGAACCTCTGTGATTCATTTCAGATTTCTATCTCCTAATTTAGTGGCTAAGCTAAGTGACCAGCCCAACAATGTTTTACTTCCTAGCGTCTAAAGGACAGCAGATGTTATTTCCTGGTTAGCTAATCTCAAAAGCCATTGCTGTTCCCCCCCCCGCTAAACTGACTGATTTGTTTATTTGAGTGAATTATTTGATTTACTAAATATTACCCTTGTCCTGGCAGCATCGGCATGTAGTGTTTTCTTGTTTTATCTGTTAATTGTTAAATCACAATCTGGTTTCTTATTTTCCCACAGCTGAAGAGGACTGGATCTCTTTAGGAGCAAATTAAAGCCAGACAGTGCAGGCAGTTCCTTTAACAAAGTCTTTCTTTGTGTTTAAGAAAATACAATGAAATATTTCTTAAAAGCTCAAATTACACACTAAGCTCCCTTCAGCAACTTTTAGCTGATCATTTATAAAAACAGACTCTAAGAAGGAAAAAAAAAAAGGGAAGACAGCAACCGGCTGGCCACTCCCGTCAGAGCTGCTGCCCTTCCTGCCTCCGCACTTTTGTTCCTGCAGATTTGGACTTTTTAGACTGGTCATTTTGCCCAATTTCCTCATTAAAAATAGGCACTTACATGTCTTGTAGAGCATCATCCATAGGTTTCACAGGTTTGTGCTGTGCCTGGTACACATGCAGCAGCGGGGCAGCTGGAGCGTTGTCCTCCTTCCCTGGACAAGCAGAGGTCACTGGCAAGCTGGAGAAGCGAAAGTACACTGGGAAGGAGCGGGTCCGGCTGTGTACAGCCGGCTGAGACCTCCCGGGTGTCTGTGGGTCACGGCTGCTGGGAGCACAGACCCCGGCAGTGCAAATGTGGGGCTGCTCCTTCGCTCCTGGGAGCCAGCGGCAGTTTGCTGTTGATTTTAGGGGACGTGTAATCAGCTCTGAAAACCAAGATGTTTGTTTACTCCGAGTTATGGGGTTTATATATTTTTTTGTGCTAATAATTTCTAGGATTGCTTTGCATACAGAATGGGTAATTTTCCAGTCTTATTCATATAGTCATAGTATTTTTATTGGTATAATCACCTTTTATTTCTTTGTTGGTTAGAAGGAGATGAAAGAACCAATTCTGACTCCAAACACAAAGGCAGAAGCTGTGCCGCAAGTTCTCAGCTCTTTATTCCCGACCAGCTAAGCCAAAGTATTAGATGTGAACAGAACTGACAGGTGAAATCACAGCCTGGAGCATCCACAGGTCTGGAAATCCCTGGTCAGTTTTAACTTTTTGTATTCATTACATGAGTGAATTACATGCACCTCGATTCTGCTGTATGACACCCTATACTTGAAATTTTTGGTGGCATTAGTAAAACAAGAAGGTGATGCAGATAATGGAAAACTTGAGTACCTCTTGTTCCTGGCACAATGGAAAAGTCAGTATATAGAATAAGCCCTTGTATGCTGATCATAAATCATCTTGAAAATATTATAGAAGTTACTGTGTTGGCTGTTAGGTTGTACATGGGATAATGAACAGCCAGCTTCACATACATGTTCAAAACCGTACTTAGCTCAATATCTGCTCCCTTATAAAATACAAATCAAATTATACACATGAGAAAAAAATACTCAACTAATTTTTTTTTCTAAAAAAACCCAAAACATTGAAATTCTTTGAAGGCAGGAAGCAAATAAAGCCATTTGAGCATACTCCCCTTAAAATAGGTGTATAAATAAACAGCTGACAGGTTTAGCAACTGACATTCAGCAGAGCTCCAGGGAGAGAACAAAGCCACTTTGTCTATGGTGTCCTCACATGGAAATCATCACCCTGCCAGCTCAGTGCCTCACCTGACACCACGGGCCAGGAAGGACAGAAAGGATGGTATGCAGCCAACGTGCAACACACAGGATTGATGAATTAAAGGCCAGCATCTGGGCATGGATTAGAAGCTACTGCAGACTCCATGACCTTGACCTTGACCTTGAAACACATGAGCAGTCTGAATACACACATGCTTAAGTATAGCATC